TTCGTTAGAGGAAGAAAAGAACTGTAACCAGTTGAATGTGTTTTAAGGACTTTCTGTAAATTAAACACTGGGACTTGGAGATGTGCCCAAGACACCTGGTAGGTGGGCAACAAATGAGTATTGCAACAACAACAAAAAGAAAAATCAAAGAAAAAGGAAATAAAAAGGAAAACAAATGAGCACTGCAGTGAACTCTCTGAGCACACCGTATACATGTGGTGGAAATGAGACAGTTTCAGAAAATCCCCAACAAGTTCTGGGAGACATTTTTTTTTAGCAGGGGTTGAGGGGCAAACGTTATACCTAAAAACAAAACAAAACAAAAAAACAATGGGATGGAAAGAGGCCTTGCCTGAAGCTCAAATGGGCTCAGGACAGCCCATCAAACTGGGATTTGCACCCCCTACTCTCCCATCAGACCTGCAGGACAAAGAGGGTGGAGGAGGAGGTTTGTTCTTTTCTCTCACATTCTCTCCCCCTCAGACCAAAGGGAGCTGGATATAGGAGACACAAAACTTGAACCAAGTGAGCTGGAAGAGGGTCAATAAGAAAACACGCCCAAGAGAAAGACCAGGGCCTTATCAAGAGAAAGGGGACACTGAACCATAGGAGGGTTATATCCAGAGAGCAGACGTTCTAAAAGCAGAGGTGGGGAGCTGCTTGATTCCACGTCAGCACTAAGACTAAAGTAAGACCTGGGGATTGGGAGGGTCTGATATCTAAATCTTAATGTAGCATTTTAAAGTTTACTTTAAATAATCCAAAGAGCCCTTATTATGCAAAATGCTCAGTAAATCTTTGAAGGTCGTCATTTTAAAGACAGAAGAATGGAATCCAGGTGGAACTGGGCAGGCACTGATTTTCAATCTTGGCTTCTCTCTGGGGAGCTCTTAAAAATCAGGACGCTGGGGCAGCACCTCAGTCTAATTACAATGGAATTTCTGGGGGTTGGACCTAGGCATTAATATTTGTAAACCTGGTCAGCTGATTCTAATATGTAATGGAGCCCCACCCAAAGGCTCTTTTGGAGAGTGCTGGGATGCCCAGTTCTTAACTTTCCAGGCAGATGATCTTTGCATTTAAGTTAATATATTTTATTTATAAGTCAGATTGTTTGATTTAGTCTGTGATAAGAACTCAATGGTAGATACATTAGGGCATAACTGATATTTAGAGCGTATATTCCACAGGCGCTATGTAGAAGCTATCATTTATTTCTTAGTGGGCTTCCTTTGTTCCTTTCTCTCTTTTAGGGCAGGGAAGGGTTTTTTTGTTTGCTTGTTTTTTTAGAGCACGGAATTTTTTTTTAATACTTAGCTTTTTGCTCGTTTAATTTTTTTAATGGAGGTACTGGAGATTGAAGCCAGGACTTCCCTCACGCCAAGCTCACGCTCTGCCACAGAGCTATACCACCCACACCCCCAACAAAGAAGTTTTAAATGAAGTAAATGGTACTCTGAGGCCTGAGAGACTCTACCTTAATCTTTCTGGGCCTTAGTTTTGGGTTTTTTTTAATTTCTATAACCTCAAACTTTATGTAGTTTGAACTGTGAACCTGCTTCACTTAAGTAACTGCAGTCACAGTGGTCATTATTTTTCAGTGAAGGTAAAGTGTACATACAGTGATACACACAAATATTAACTTGCATTTTGATGAGTTTTTAAATGAATACAACTGTGTAACCACCATTCCAGTCAAGATACGGAATGGGAGAGGATATAGCTCAAGTGGCAGAGCACATGCTTAGCATGCCCACCGTCCTGGATTCAATCCCCAGAACCTCCTATAAAAATAAATAACCTAATTACTTCCCTCAAAAAAAAAATCACAATACAAAGCTATGGAATAGTTCTATCATCTCAGGAAGATTCTTTATGACCTTTCCCTTTCTCTCCATAGGCAACCAGACTGCTCCTTGTGGCCAGAAAGGTCCTGCATCCCTCTTAATCCTCCAGCATTGTCTTCTGACTCTGTCCCAGCTCATTATGATGATGTCCCAGAGACCCAAGTCTCCTTTCCGAGCTCTCTCCTGCTCGCGGGCTTGGCTCAGCTGTATTCCCCGGTTAACTCCTACTCACCTTCAGGCATTATCTTAAATGTTACTTCCTTTCAGAGGCATTCCTTGGTGTCCCAATTCGAAATTAGAGTCTCCCTAGGTTCTTTTCATTTCTGCCACTATCACAATTGGAATTACATATTTATACATATTTATTCTACTTTAAAATTGTCCCTCTCTTTCACTCTACCCACAAGGGTAGAGGTCATGTCTGTTTTGTTCACCACTGTATTCCCAGCCTCTAGCCCAGAGCCAGAAACATTAGGTGTCCAATGAATATTTGTTAAAATAAATGAATGAACTAGTTTAATTCCATTCTTGAATCTACTGAGTTGCAAAGTGAGAAAAAAGAGATGGAGAGAAAGGGAAGAAAGATGTGGGGAAAGGGATTTCAAAATGTAGAATAGATAAACAAGATTATACTGTATACCACAGAGAAATATATACAAGATCTTGTGGTAGCTCAGAGAGAAAAAAAATGTGACAATGAATATATGTATGTTCATGTATAACTGAAAAATTTTGCTCTACACTGGAATTTGACACATTGTAAAATGACTATAACTCAATAAAAAAGTTAAAAAAAAAAAGAAAGATGTGGGAGATGAGGGTGAGATTCCGATGGAGACTGCTCTTCCTTTAATCTTGAGTAGTGAGAGCAAGGAGTTTATTACATGCAACAGTGGAAAGAACACTTGGGAAGAAGTCAGGTCACTGTGCTTGGTGACTTCTCCAGGCCTAGACCCCAGGCTCCTCAGTTATCAAATGCAGGAGCTGGACTAGAAGATTTCATCAGTATTGCCTCTCCTCTATGCACTGCATGGAAATATATGAGGGTATTTTGCATGGCCACAATAACTGGAGACCACTATTGGCAGTTATTTGGAGCACCAGGAATGTTAAATGTCTTACATTGTGTGAGATAGTCTTCACTCTGTATTATCCAAGATATCAGTGTTGAGAAACACTATAACACAATTCTATGAAATCTACTAGGCATGGCCTGTGGTTCCTCATTTTGTGATACTTCATAGACTGTCTTCCAGGTAAAAGCTTATTGCATTTAAATTACCTTACTTAGAAAATTATGTATTTATAAGTCAGATTGCTTGCTTTAGTCTGTGTTAAGAACTTAAGGGTAGATATATCATGGAATAATTGATATTTGAGGTATATATTCCACAGGAACTATGTAGAAAGTATCCATTTATTTGTTTTTTTCCTTAAAGAGCACAGTTGTTTTATATGACCTGGTAAACATGTCCCCAAGAAATTCGAAGAGCTTGATGCTATTTCACTCTTCCTTAGTAGATGTGTAGGTAGAAGTCAGTTTACATTTGGGAAACTATTATGGACTGAATATTTGAGTCCCTCCAGAATCATACATGGAAGCCCAAACCCTCAGTGTAACGGTATGTGAAAGTGAGGCCTTTGGGAGGTAGTTAAGTTTAGATGAGGTCGTGAGGGTATAGCCTCCATGGTGGGATTAGTGTCCTTATAGGAAGACTTTTTATTAGAGGAAGAGGCCAGGGCTCCCCCTCTCTGCCATGTGAGGTCAGTGAGGTGGTCATCTGCAAGCCAGAAGAAAGTCCCTTACCTGGGAAACAAATTGGCTGGCACCTTGATCATAGACTTTCCAGCTTCCAGAACTATGAGAAATAAATTCCTGTTGTTTAAGCCACCCAGTGTATGGTATTTTGTTATGGCAGTCTGAACTGACTAATACAGAAACTAAGACTCAAAGAAGAAAAACATTAAAATTACAAAGAAAACCCTCCTGTGGCAAGGTTGGTGTTTTTAGTGTTGTGCTTCCTAGCCTAATGTTTTACCCATTAGAATGGACTCTCAGTTATAGCAATTAAGGAGGCTGTTTGCTAAGTGTTGTCTCATCTTTGTAATTCTAAGGCCCTTGCCTACTGTAAAATTTTATGTTGTTAAAAAAAAAACACGCTGGAAACAGAACAAATGTCCATCAACTGACAATATGGATTTTAAAATTCATATCTATATAATGGAATATTATTTGCCCATCAAAAGGAATGAAGTACCAATGCATGCTACATGAATGAATCTTGAAATCTGGTTAAGTGAAAGAAGCCTGTCACAAAAAAGCCCACTATATATATTATATAATTCCATTCATATGTAATATCCAGAAAAGGCAAATCTATAGAGACAGAAAGTAGATTCGTGGTTTCTTAGGGCTGAGGGTAACGGGGGGATAGAGGAGTGTTATTGAAAGGGTATAGGTTTCTTTTTGAGGTGATGTAAATTTCTAAAATTGTAGTGATGGTTGCACATCTGTACAATTGTGCTGATGTTGTAAATATACTAAAAACCATTAACTTATATACTTTAAATGGGTGAAGTATACGGTATATGACATATATCAATAAGGCTATTTTTAAAATATGAAAAAGTATTCAACTTCATTCATATTTACAGAAATGAAAATAAAAACAATGTTTTTCATCCATCAGATTGACAAACATTTTCAAGTCTATAAAATTTAGGACTTGGAGAGGGTGTGTGGAAAAGTTGGTGCCCTTGTACACTGCTAGTGGGAACAGAAATTGAGGCAACTCTCTTAGAGGGAAATTTGTTAAGATCTTTCTCAACCCAATATACATGTATCTTTTGATTTAGTCATTTTACTTTCAGGAATTTATTCCACTGTATCATCATCAAGCATAAAAATGATTATTGCAACATTGATTACAATAATAAAAATTGAAAACAACCAAAAGTCAATTAATAGAGAATTGAACAAAATAAATTATAAATCCATATAAATTATGAATAACATGCAGCCAAGAATGAAGGTATAGAACAATATAAGTAACATGCTACTGTTTTGTGAAAAAAGAGAAGACATAAGAATAAAATATAGATGTATGTGTAAATTGTATAAAGAATGCACAATAAAGTAATATAAATGGTTACCTGGTTGAGTGGGAACTAAGTAGATGGTGGATAGAAGTGGAAGTGAGACTTTTCACTGAATTTTTTTTACATTATTTCTGAGGCTTCTGAATATCTAACCTAAAAGAAATTAAATTTAAAGATTAGTATGTATATGCATGACTGGGAAATTATGCTGTACACCAGAAATTGACACATTGTAATTGACAAATTAAAAAAATTAAGAATATGAATGAAATAAAATAAAGCTTATCCACACTAAGTAAAATACAACTAGTACAAGATACATTAAGTAAAAAAAAAGTTGCAAAATAGTATGCACAGCACTCTTTCATTTATTTATTCAACTAACAATACTTTTGGGTCCCTAATTTATGTTCTATATACTAGTGATATGGAATCAAATAAGGCAGCCAAAGTTCCTGCTATCATGGAGATTACATTTTAGTAGTGAGTAGCACAAAAACAAGGTAATTTCAAATCATGATAGGAGAAAGTAAAACATGGTGATGGAGAGTGACTTGGGCTGGGGAATAGTTACTTGATGGGTGTCACAAAACACCTCTCTGAGGAAGTGACATATGAACTGACACTGAATGAAGATAACTTGAGAAGAGAGTGGTCTAGGAAGATGATGTAGTGAGCACAAAGGTCCTGAGGCTGGAACAGGTTGGCAAGTTTGAAGATCTAGAATATAGTCTTCATAGCAGGCAAAGAATGGTAGGAGATAAAGTCAGAGTGGTAGTCAGGGGACAAATAATGGGTTTAAATAAAAGAATAATACACATGTATATGTAAATTGAAAATATCTGGAAGGACACACAAGAATCTTATCAACATAAGGCGCTATTTTGTAGGGATGATGGTTAATAGGACTCTTTAATTTCCTATTTTCCAGTAGTATTTGGATTTTTTAAAATATTTAAAAGCACATAATAAATATACAGCAAAGGAGAAAAGAATTTAATATGGAGTGTTGGGTAAGAATATAGGAAAAGGAATACTGTACCCAGAAGCATAATGATTCCTTTGGTTCTAGTCCCCCTAGGGGCAGTCATGAGGTAGTGCTGGTGGCTGTGTCCAAGCACAAGCATCTCATTGTGAGAGCTAAAATTATCTTTAATGGAACTCTGAAATACTCAAGAGTTTGAATTCTTGCAATCGTGTAATCCTTGCCAAATGGTGGGTGGGGAAAACCAAAAATCAATGTAGTGATTGTTACAGTCACTTACTGTGTATCATGAAGCAGGGGCCAGTAAAGTCTTTAGATTTTAAAATTAAAACCTGAGGAAAACTCCAGTGCAGTTGTCTTACAACTGTAAGGCTTAGATATCCAGGCCCCATTCACCACTTCTCTGAGCCCTTGCTCAGGTCTTTACTGCCCTGTCTTTTCTCCACCTGGACAAGCTACATCTTCCACTCCTCTTAGTCAGTTCACCTCTTCTACAATAGCTTCCCCAACAGCTCACTTTGCCTCCTCCTTAAATCATCCCTTGGCACTTCGTGAGCAGGATAAAAATAGCTGACATTTAGAGGGCTGTCACTGGGTACCAGATACCACGTTAACTAATGTTATCTTGTTCAATCCTCAAATCAACCTTGTGAGGTGGTACTGTTACCACCCCCTTTGTACAGATGGAGGTCAACCTGAGGCACAAGGGCCATAAAGTAGGATCAGGGCCGGTGAGTTGGTAGCTTGGAACAGAATCCCTGTATGATTTTAGACTGCTTGCATTTAGCCATATAGTTTTTTATTTGGATAGATATTGAATATATAAACAGTGTAGATCATGGGTCATAGATTCAGATGCATACAGGGACTAGGATGTAAGCACAGAGAACCTGATATAATTGTCTTTCTTGAATTTTTAAAAATTTTTATTTATATTTATATATTTTTATAATTAAAAACATTTTTTGGTTATTTTTTTGTTTTCAGCCTTTATTTTCTCAAAGGAATATGTCTTATATATCTTGCTCTATCTTCTGTTATTCTACATTTGATAAAAGTAAGAATCAAAAAATATTTTACTTTCCTCTGGACTTTATCATAAAAATATAAGTGGTAAATGCCTGGCAGCTGACATCAGTATCAGAGAGCAACAGGGAGTTAGGACACTGTGACAAACTCAACAGCACGGGCCTCATCTAAAGGGGGATTTCCAGCTCAGCTCCAGACAAATGCTGCCATTGGGAATGGCTCATAAACCTCAAACTGTCCGATCTTCCAATTTCTCAAGAGGATGCAGAAGCTCGGAGTTTTATGCAAAACCTCCCAATTTTAGAATGTCAATCAATTCACAACATTTTAGGAACATGGTCTGGTAGAACTGATTTGATCAGAGGGTCACAAGTTCAGTCTTGTCTTTTTAATTACAATGCAAATTTCTTGTGAGGAAACACTAAAACAGATTTCTCTTATATCTCTCACAGTGCCACGCACATACAGTGCTGAAAGATTTTTGCTGAGCCATGAAGCTGTTTAGGAGTATTAGTTTATATTTAGATTTCACTTCCTTTTGGCAAACATTCATCTGGCAAGCTTGGGCTTTCACAGAATCACATAGTAACTGTGAATTTATCACTGAATCAAATGGATTCTCTGAATTTTCCAAAGAGGATGATGGGGCCTAGGATACAGAAAGTATTCATTAAAAGTTTCTTGTTTTTATTTCATTCATGTATCAGATTAATATCCTTGCTCTAGGCCATACCTTGGTGCACATTATAATTACTGGGGGAAGCTTTTAAAAAAATTCCCATGCTCCACCCCTAGAGACTCCATTTTAATTGGTTTACAGGAGGGTCCTGGCACCAGTATGTGTGTCTGTATGTATATACAAATATGTATATATATGTTTATGTGTGTGTGTGTGTGTGTATATATATGTGTGTGTATGTGTGTGTGTGTATATATATATATACATATATATATATATAGTCATTCAGCAAATGATTTTAATGCATAGTCAGAGTAGAGGATCACTGGTCTAGGTTCTAGGAATCAGGACTCATAGGACTGGAGAATCACAGATCTTACTGCCAGAAGTTATCTCATGAATTATTTGGCCCAGCTGAATACCCTTAAGTCACTATTTTCCTAAAACTACCATCATATCTGATTTGACTACTATATTACCAATATACTCCAATGTAATTCTATTTGAGAAGGGGAAAAAGCTAAAATGTCAGAGAGATATTTATGTGCTTATTTCCCGAACATAATCAAGTGACTGTTCAAGGAATTTTGTTGTCTAAAAGAAATGTTATAGTAATAGGAGGACCAAACTAATAACTTGGTGACTTCTTTTACTAACAAATGGCATATTAACCACTTTTATATGATCATTAAAAATGAATTATCTTTTAAAGAGAAAATATACACACACACAGTAAAAATGCAAAAGGTATAGAAGTATAAAGTTTACCTTCCATTCCTACATTCAGGCCATTAAGTCCACCTCCCTGAAGGCAACTACTCATGGATTTCTTGTGTGTCTTTCCAGAGACATTATTTTTATAGTTTAAAAAAAGTATTTATTTGGCTTCAGATAGGAATCTTTACTTCAGTCAATATCCTTTTTGACAGAGCCTTTAATATTTCCTTAAGAGTAAAGGTGCTAAGATTAGAGGGGGAAAGAATGATCTACTGTGAGAGTGTTAGAGCTTGAAAGGATCTTAGAGTCATCCTGTCCTTTGTTATTCCAAGTGTGGTCCTTGGATTAACAGGGACTTCAACTGGGGGCTTGTCAGAAATGCAGAATCCCAGACCTCACCCAGAATTCCTTATGCAGAAGTTGCATCTTCCCCAAATCACCAGGTGATTCGTGTACACTTTCAAGTTTGACAATCATTGCTCTGGTCTGATAGCCTCCTTCACAAATCAAGGAAGTGTGGCTCAACAAGGAGGTAGGGGAGAGTTGATGCTAATAATCAGGTCTCTTAACAGCCTTGTCAAGTGAAGTTTATGATATGCCAAAATTCTGGCCAGGTAATTTGATGTAGCGTTTTTTATGCATTTTCTTCACTATGAGCTTTGGAATCAGAAACAGCAGGGTTCAAATGCTAGCTTTACCAATGGCATAGAGTAGGGGCTCAATAATCGTGACTATATTTCCTGTTATTCTTAAAAATTAATAAACAATTTTTAGAGTGATTTTAGATTCACAGCCAAATTGAGCATAGAATTCCCATATACCCCCTGCCCCTGACCCATGGATATCCTCAAACATTAACAAAGGGGTTACTAGCATTTCTCGTTGTGCTTGATTAAAACTTCAGTGATTCAACAGCCTTTAAGGAATCATTTACAAATTCTATTTTATGTCTAACTTAACACCAAGACTCCTTTTTCTTTTCCTTTTTTGGGGCGGTAGGTTTATTTATCCATGTATTTTTAGAGGAGGTACTGGAGATCGAGCCCAGGACTTCGTGCATGCTAAGCATGCGTTCTACCACTTGAGCACTACCCTCTCCCCTCTTTTTTTTTTTTTTTTTTTTAACATATCCTGTTCTTGTCTCAGAATGATGTTTTGCTCTGGCAGCCAGGGAGGGATTTTATTAGGCAGCCTAATAAAATGGAGGGACTGTAACATAGGGAGGCTAAGGTATTGACAGGTTCTTTCCATCGGATCTTATGCTGGAACGGAGCAGGAGATTCTGAGGAAAATAAGTTAAGAGGTAGGAGCTAAATCTGAACCAAGGCCTTTTTATCAGAGAACACAGCTGGTGTCCAGGATCTCAGCCTAAGTGGGCAGCGGGGGCCTGCGCAGTGTGAAATCAGAATGAATGGTTGCAGGGAGTTTCTGAAGCTTTCGCTTTGGAGCCTTGGAGCCTCGGGTTCCGAAGAACAGCAAGGGTAAGGTGCCAATTTTCTGTCCCACTAGAGAACTTGGAGCGAGACTGGAAGCAAAAGGGAAAGGCAGGGGAGCTGCATGTCTGAGGACTCTGGGGGCGGCCGCGTGGAGCCCACCTACGGGCTGCCTCATTTCTGTCCTCGCTCAGAGCTTCTGGGGCTTGTAGACTCTTACCTTTCAGCTTTTCTCCTTTTCATTTGAGCTGAGTTGCAGTTTATTTTTCCTTCCCGCTTAAACTCTATGACACTTGCTGTTAAAGAAAGGCACTTCCGGAGAGGTTTCCTGGAGGCCGGAAGTAACTGGGACGTCCGCGGTCGCCCGGCAGTTTCCGCGATGCCTTATAGGAGTTGTAGTCCACCGACTGGCAACGCCTCTCGGCGGGAGGAGACTGGGTTGTTTTCCGGCTCCTGGATTCTGAGGTCGGGCTTGCGGCGTTCTCAGGTGCAGACTTTGTTTTAGTAGTTCTGTGTGACGTATACGATATATTTTGTAATATGTATTTTTTTTAGGATTTTTTTTTCAACCAGTGAATAAAACAAATTATATTTGCTCTTTTAAGAAGGATACCAAACAAGGTCCTACTGTATAGCCTGGAGGAGCTATACTTAATATCTTGTAATAGCCTATAATGAAAAAGAATATGAAAAGGTATATATGCGTATAACTGAATTACTATGCTGTACACCAGAAATTAACATAACATTGTAAACTGACTATACATCAATTAAATTAAAAAAAGGTTTACCAAAATGTATAAAAAAGAGAACAAAAGTGATGGGATGACTATATTAACTTCATATAAATAGTTCAGAAAGATATAAACTGAAACTAAAAGCCTCTCTTCTGCACTTGCCCAGCTCCCTCCCTAAAATGGAAAATACCTGTATGGTTTTTAAAGAAATAAATCTTCATGTAAATGTACATACAGTTGACACTTAAACAACACGAGTTTGAAATGCATGGATCCACTTACATACGGTTTTTTCAATAAGTACAAAAGTTATTAAAAAGTACACAAAAGAGTAGTGCTATCATCCTCTTTTCAACCTTCCTGCTTCATTTGATAATCCATCTTAGAAGTCTTTCCATACCGCACAAAAAGAGCTATCTTAATCTCTTTTTTAATGGCTGTAAAGCGGTTCATTCCACAAATACCATAATTTATTCATGTACTAATCTCTTCTCCACCCAGTCAAGGGGCATTTTGGTTGCTTCCAATTTTTTTTTCTGTTGCAAAGAATTTTACAGTGACCGCCTTGAATATATTTTGTTGTAAATCCACAGGGTAAATTTGTAGAGAAAAATTGTCCAGTCAACAAGATACATGCTTCATAAAAGTTGATAAATACCACCAAATTGCCAAATTGTACCAATTTACACTCTTACCTGACAATGTATGAAGGTGTTTACCTCCTCACTTCTGCTCTAGCATTGGGTATTATCAAACTAGAAATTTTTCTTCTCTGAGAGGTGAACAATTTATCTTCCTTTGAGTGATTAGCAGTTTTATAACTATGAAAGAAGCTGCACTTTTATTAATATGTTTATTGAAAAAAATATGTTTATTGGCTGTTTATAGTTCTGAAAGTGGTCATGTTTTTGACCCAGTTTTACTATTGGCTTGCTAATCTTTTTCTTACTGATTTGTCTGCACTTTCTGTAAATTAGGAAAGTTAGCTTGTCTATTCTGGGAATTGAAACTTTTTTAAAAAATACTTTTTTATTGAAGTATAGTCAGATTACAGTGTTGTATCGAGACTTTTTTCTTTGTATGTTATTTACCTTCCAGTTTTGCTTTTGTATTTTTTTCACACACATGTTTCATTTTTATCTAGTCACATTAAATTTTTTCTATGGCTTCTGAGTTATTTGGTTATCTGTAATTTATTTTGGTAAAAGGAGGAATGGCTCTAGCTTTATCACTTATCATTTGTTCAAAATATTAGCGAGTGGTCCCAGCATGATTTTTATTACCTTCATCATTAGAGAGACAAACCCAATGACCATTAAAAATATACCCGACTTCCCTGCATTCGAAAGTGATCGTGGGCTGCCTGTGCACTTGTCCTTGGTAGTGTGGGGAGAGGAATTGCTGAAAGTGTTTCCCCGTGTTTAAGGGTTCATCCTGTCCCTTTCAAATTCTGGACCTTTCCCGCACCTCCTCCCTGCGCCCACCTTTCTGTTGGTGGTGTCTGTTGAGTGCCCTCTGTGCCTGGCTCAGTGCTGGTTTTTTGAGACTTTAAAAGAGGGGAATGAGAGTAGGTTCTGCGACAGCTGTGGTCTTCTGACCCTGGTCTCCAATTTTAGCAGTTCTGTGTCCTTTACTGCCCGTGCTGGAAGAGATTACAGGCTGTCCATGCCCTGACCATTGGTAATGAGGGCAAAGGAAAAGTTGATGAGTATAAGGGTTTCCTGCTAGGTGGCTGATCGTGCTGGCTTCTTCTCTGAAAAAAAAAAAAGAAAACCTTAAAATTAAAAAAAAAAAGTATATTTGTATATATCCTACCATGAGATGCTGTGGCAGGTTTAAAGCTTAGTTTTGGGGAAAAGAATAGAAATAAATAAGCAGTTTTCTAACTTTTCTCAAAACATATGCTTATCTTGTATTATTGTTTTTTCTGAACAATACCACAAAAAGGTTGCTAATATTTATTAAAAAAGTATTGAAGACTTTTCTAATCAATATAAAACTTAAAAAAGAGAAAAACTTATGAAAATGATTTTAAAAGCTAAGAATGGTTGAAGTAGAATTCCCAAATTGAGAAAAGTATTATGTATGTTCAAATATAAAGCAAAGTTTTTCCCCAGCTCATCCTTTAGAAGAAAAGGTTGATGCCTCATACCTGTAATCTTACAAAATTTCTCATATAATGGAAGAATAGCACTTTTCCTAAATTAATATGATTTTGCAGTAATATATTATTTTTTCAATGAAGTATAGTCAGTTTACAGTGTGTCAATTTCTGGTGTACAGCATAATGTTTCAGTCATACATATACATATATATATTCCTTTTCATATTCTTTTTCATTATAGGTTACTACAAGATGTTGAATATAGTTCTCTGTACTATACAGTATAAAGTTGTTGTTATCTATTTTTTATATAATAGTATCTGCAAATCTCAAACTCTCAATTTATCCCTTCCCACCCGGCTTTCCTTCCTGGC